AAATCCATTGCAAGGTGCAAAAAATGCACAGATTGCGCGAGATTGCAATGAACATTACAAATTGCACACACAAAATTTCTTGCAATTGTTTGCAATCTTGCTACACCTAAACCCATTTATATAATCTTACAATGAAACAAAAAAGAAAAAACAACAGCTGTTTCAATATCTATTGCTTCTCATGTAGAAGTGTGTGGCATACTGCTAAAACAGCTGTTTCGTTTTGATGTTGCAATTCTGTAACAGAGGTGTTTTGTACTATTGCAATTTTAGTATAGCATTCTTGCATTTTGTGCACCTTGCAATGACTTTGCAGGACAGAGTGAATATCCCTAATAATTGTCTTATATATTTTATATATTTCTGATATAATCATCTACAGCATATAAATAAATACTTTTGATTTCATTTACTTTACAATTTGTTTTCATAATGCTTTTGTTTTGCTGTTACATAATTTGTATTTAGTATATATAGTTTATGAAAAATATGTGTAAAAAGCAGATTCATATCAGATTTACAAAATCTGATATTTTTGTTCGAGTTTTTGTTTTGTTTTTAGTTTTTCAAATCTTCCCCAAAGCAAATGTTGAATTTATATAAGTGAGTTTTAAGTAGAACTGCGGACTGCATAATGCGAACGATTTGCTTCAATAAATTTGGGTCAACGATTTTCTAAATAAAAGTAAAAAGCGTACTTTTAATAGGGAATCCAACAAAAGGTCTACGATGACATGTTCAGATTTAAATGTAAATTTAAGCAACATTTAAAATACATTCACAAAATTTCAATTCTGTTTAAGTTTATTTTGGATTTAAAAAGTAAGCAATTTGATCTAAACTAAGTCTTCTATGTTACTAAGATAATTTAAAAATCACTTTTTACTTAATACATCAAGGAATATATGGAAATACTTGTAAATAAAACGTGTAATTGTAGAGTTAAAAATTTATTTTTATAATTAAAATTGTCATTAATCAGATAACAAAAATGTATTTCATGTTATTTCTATTTATATACTATTTTGAAAAGTTTTAATTATCAACCCATTTAATCTAATAAAGAAAATTTGAAATCTAAAATCACATTTGTTGAAATTTTCGAAAAAAAAGTGCGGTATAACGTAAAGGCCGTTGAAGGAGCATTAATTTGTTTCCTTTTTTCGAGTTCGAGTGGTAAGGTCTATTTCATTAAAAAAAACCAACAACAAATTATATATCTTTACTGACATTCACTATAGCTTTGAACCAGTAATTGACGATTGACTGCATTTAAAAACTCAGGGCTTAGTGTATTGATAACTGCCTGACTGTAAAGAGTCTATGTGTAGAGTTATAAACGTGACGATATACTTTTGCAACCAACAAAACAATCCTGTCAATTGTTTTTAGAACTCTGTTAAATTAAGATAGAAGACTACTCTAGATTTATCAATGACGTGTATATCTAACCTCATATCATATCTTAATTTAACCGCGTTTTTTTTTTTTGATAAATGTATACTAAAGATGAAGAAAAATCCTTTAAAGCCGTCGGTATTTATTAATTATTAAAATTTAAAAAAAAATACTATCTGTAAAAATATTATTTTATTGAGAAATGGAATCCACTCAAGTGGATTGGCTTGACTCATTGGGATACCGTTGAAAACTATTTATCTTAGATTGTTTGAAGTCCTGCGATATGCTTACATGGTACACCAAAGAGATGTAAAAGTTTACACTCTGTAGGTTTCTTCAACTTTCTACTTCCAAAGCATTCATTTTGATCAACATATATATTAACTGGCTTACAATTGTATTTAGATAAAATTAGAATATCGTACGAACTCGTTGTTTATTGACTGACGTATTGACGTATTGACTATTGATTAATAAATAAAATTAACATATTATTATTTATTATTAAATTTTTTAAAGTATGTAATTGCTTTTGCTGACGTTGTTGAGTTAAGTATTCCTGAAGTTGTTTTTTATCACTTGACTTGAAAAAAATAAATATTTGCTCATTTTCATTTTAAAAAATGACCAATCAATTATTTTCATTTATTCTAAATTGATTTCAATTTTATAAATTCGTAAATTTGTTCAAGTGCTTGAAACTATACTTATACACTTAGATTCTTCAGTTTTCCGATAATTTTGTTTGTTTAATATGAGCACTTTGACAGTGCCTTTATCACTATTAGCTTGTGCTTATTGCTTAAAAGATCTAAAATTGCGGAAAATTGTGAACTTTAACACTTGCTTGGTTTATTTTTTAGTCTTAAATCTATAAGTTCTTGTTTGTATATATTAGTAATTGACCTTTTATCCCCTATACGAACTGAAATCAATCTAATACGAACTTCAAATCTTAAAATTTAGTTGCAAGTTAAGTTTTCATGTGTACTATTATAGGAGATTATAATTTTATATAGTTATTATATATTATATAGTATATATATTATATAGTACTATTATAGTTAGGTTAGGTTAGGTTATACCGGCGATTCCTAGTGGATCCACTTATGTATTTTGGCCCATTGTGTTATCGTATATGTGGGAAAAACTCTGAGTTTAAAACCACCTAAAACCTTTGGCGAAGCCTAAAATGCTATTTAGTGTCAGGTCCTGCAATTGATCAAGATCATCAAGAAAAGGGGCTCGTAAAGTATTTAGTTGCCGCCGTACGTGAGCTGAGTAAAAACATAGTAGATGAGAGGCACTCTCATCGTCTTTCTCACAGCTGTGACAGATTTGATTAAAAAGGAGATCTAATCTTCTAGCATGGTTTCCTAGTTTACAGTGATCTGTAAGTAAACCTACCAAAAGACTGATATCTTTACGGGGTAGCTGATATCTTTATGGGAACATGGCCAGATTGCATACAGATGTCAGCATATCGTTGAGTCTTCCCTTAGGAAATGGTTTTATACGACGTATTTTTGAAATAATAATACGTCTTAGAATACTGCAATTCATTTTTATATACTGTTTAAATGCCTTTCAGTCCTTGAGGTTCTACTACAAATTGGTGTTGCATCTGAATATTTTTACAGTATAATTAAACAGTATAATTAGTTCAGCATATCTACCAGAGGCAATAAAGTTACTGTTGGTTTAAGTGTACTCAGTGCTGAATTCGAATGAGTATCTATGGTTGAAAAAAGATTGTGAACTTTAGACAATATATACTGTTCAACTTTTTTGATTCTTAAGTCTTTAACGATTTCCAGTTCCTCACTTACCAACATATATTTAGTGTATTACACTAAATCTAGCTATTATAATTTGTATATTGTGAAGTCTACAGCAACATTTTTGAAAGCTTTTATTTTCGTTATTATTAATACTTATATATGTTTTGTTATTGTTTTTAGGTGGTGGCGCTATCGAAATGGAACTATCGAAAATATTGCGTGACTACTCGCGCACCATAGCCGGCAAGGAACAATTGCTTATTGCGGCCATTGCAAAGTCGCTCGAAGTGATTCCACGTCAATTGTGCGATAATGCTGGCTTTGATGCCACAAATATATTGAACAAACTCAGGCAAAAGCATGCTAAAGGTAAGTAAACTGCAGTTCTTTATGGACAAATAACAAATAACAAATAACAAATGCTATATGTTAATCCACTAATACTGGATTTGGTTATGGGAAGTGATTGCAGCGAACAAAATTATTTTTTTTCTTGCTATAAATGAACACCCACATAAATAATGTTTTAAAAAAAAGATGAAAATTAAATGTTGCAAATGTTCGCGTTTTTTTCACTCAAAAATAAATAAAAAAAATGTTTTATGTCAAGTCAAAAACAGTAACAAATTTTCGAAGGAAAATCATTGTTCGCTGTTGGAAAATTGCATTTTGTGCTGCATTCAGCAATCAGCAAACGGCAATCACCAATCCTTTTTTCGGTTGCTGGCATGGCATGTCGTTGGCTGGCATTGTTAGCCGACATTTTCATTTATGCGCAAATTTTTTAATTTAGTGCTTTAAGTGTTAGCGCCTACAAACCAACAAAAACAAAAAAAAAAAAATCATTGCAGAAAATCCATTTATGCAAACAAATTTGATCAAACTTTTGTTGCTTACCATGAAGTTTTCATTTTGAAAATTTGAAATAAACTATTTCCGTTTATATCATGTTTTGTTTTTTTTTTAATATTTTTTGTTTTTACTTATTTTCTAAATTTCTTAAGTTATAGTTTTTTACAAAGTATTTTTCTAATATTTTTGAAAAGCCCACGCCAACGCCTAGGTTCGGGTACTTTGGTGTGGTGCTTTTAGTTTCTAAATTGTTTGGCTGGCATTTATACTTTGACGTTTATTCTTGCCGTTGGTTGTTGTTGATGTTGTTGATGTTGTTGATTTTTCATATCCACGTTCAACTGCGGTCATTCACATTTGGTGTTGGCCAGTTTTCAGTTGGGAGTGCACAATATATTGTGCCACGCCGAATAATTATGAGTTTCTGTGCAAAAGTTTATTAAACTAGAAATATCGCACTGTGTGATTAGTGGTCATTTGCGCAGTTTGTATATTTTATAGTTAGACTATGATTACCGATAAAGCAATCTTTTTAATATGTTGACAACATGAAGTACCACCTATGTATGGTATTAATTAATTTTGGGAAATAGTTTCATATATTCTATATATTTGTATTAGCAATAATATTCATCACTTTTGATCAAATAAAGAAATTAATCGGGTTAATTGACTTGTCATGAGGATAGGAAGTTCGCCACTACTCACTCATATCTTTTACACTAGATATGAGTAACTCAGTAACATAGTGTGTGCATAATTACATAAGAACAAAACAACTGATTGGTCTTGCTCACGTCTCTCCAATTAATTGCGATAACCAACTGCACACTGTTTAAAAGGTATTCTGATCAGATAATAGTCTCATTCATGAACTACTATAAAAGTCAAAGGAGGTTAAGGAAGGAAGAGAACACTTGCTTGACATTTACTAGATGGTTTCCATTCAATATGTGTTTATAGTTCCTTTAATATTTATCCGACATCTTCAATTAATTATTTGGCGCATCTGTTCAAAATTTTTTATATGACCACGGTGCTTGAATGGTGATTGACCACGTCCACCATAATAAGTCTGTTCCACCAGCTACTTATAGTAAAACTCCAGTAAAACACAAGTAAAGTACAAACTAAGAGCGTGTAACACAAATAAAATGCCAAATTACGCTCTTTACACAGATTTTCATGAAACAGCTTTGTGTAAAGTCTGGAGAGAACACGAGTGCCATGCAAATAAACAATACTAAAATTTGAATTCAAGCCAAAACAGCTCACACATCAACATAAATTTTACTTTAAATAAAATGTACGAGTAGTCTGTATAGCATTTTCAAATTTCGACAGGGATGTTACGCTGTCTTAGATGCTCTCATTTACTGGAAAATTTGCCGGTGGAACACACTTGTGTATACACAGTGTTACTCAAAGTTACTACGATTAGCTCGTAGAACAGACCTAATATAGACTGCCACTGACATTTTTCTAAATAATTACAAATTTCGCATTATTTTATTAATTTTGTGTTCTACAAGATAAAATAAAAAGTCAGTAAATTCTCTACATATGTATGTACATATATAGAAAATGTATCGTTCTCAAAATAAACATATATGTTTGTTTAGCTATCACCTTACTATTGGAGGTAAAACATTGCATGGATAGTTTATAATATTTATAAAAACTTTCTTGGTTTATGTAGCAACTCCCATATTGGTCTAAATTGATAAGATTGTACGATTGTACTTCTTTAATGCTTATTCTATACAAGTTATTGTCAATATGACAGTAGTATATTAACAAAACGTCAATATAAAAAACGTTTGTTTCCTCTTCCCCCACTAATAATTTATTTCATATTCATATTAAAGCATTTTTTTCTTTATTCCATTAAAAAAAGAATAGGGATAAATATACATACATATTTATTTGACATAATATATGATTATATATACAAATATATATATAAATTATATGTATATTATTTTCCATACTATGATTATAAATAAGATTAAAAGTACACGTCTTTCGTTTTATAAAACTGGTTGCCATTTTTTATAATTCTCTTTTTAAATATTATTTTTTGTTTTGAACAAATTCAATGTTTTTATCAATATTGTTTATAACGAAAGTCACGTAGCCACAACAGAAATAAAATAACAGCACAAAACGAAAAGAAAAAAATAAAATAAAAAATAAACAAGTTAAAGATAAAATAAAAACAAAACTTAAAACATAAGTATTAAATAATAAAGAAAACATTTGTGAACTAAACAAAAATTTAAAATTATAAAAATAGAATTTTTTAAATGTACTTTATACATATACATATATGTATGTGTATATATATGTTTATATATTTCAGATGGATTAATCCAATTTGTTTATTTATATATTGTTTATTTTAATTAGTATTAAATATGTATTTATTTTTAATAGTCAATTTTTAAATAATTGATACTTAAAAATAAATTTATATATTTCTTTTGTTTGCTAAAATTTTGAATGTTTATTTCTGTATATATATAATTAATCCAACAACGATTATATGTATATGTTATTGTTAAAATAATAACATATAATTATTATGTTTAATTTTATATAATAAATATAATTAGACTATATTAGAACCTTTAATTTAAACTTAACTGTAAGTTAAAATAAGTTATTATTACAATGGCAATGCTACAATCGCAATGCTTCTGTAACGAAACTATCTCTTATAACGAAAAAAACGAATTACTTGTATTTCGTAATAAATTCTTTTTACGGCTTTGGGTCATTTGACTAACGCTGACTCTGAGCTTCAAATTTGGTAGGATACGAGTTCCATTCCTGGTACTAGCAGTCTCAAAAAATTATTTACGAATAATACAATATAAAAAAATAATTCCAAGACCACTGATAATATGTGTTTGGCACTACTCGAAACAGCTATATAGTCAGCTAAAAAAGCTATTTATTAAATTAATATAAAAAGAATTTTTGTTGATGTAATTCACTATTTTTCGTAACCTCTCTACCAAATATATTATTTTCTATTAATTAAGATAGTTACTTCCGTTATGACGTTAAATTACAACTAAAAAATTTAATTAATATAAAAAAAATTTTCGTTGTTGTAGTTCACGATTTTTCAAAACCTCTATTAAAAATTATTTTATAAATTCATAAATTTGTAATGCACACAACTATATTTTGTATAATAAAGAATATAGATCTCTCTGAGGTGATAAAGTGTCATCTCTGCCTGAAATGAAATTAACTTCTAATCACATTCTTTGTGACTGTTCAAACAGTTAGAGTTTAATTCTTAGCTAATATTCTGTTATAAATAAATAAAATATATATCTTCTATTTAATGCTCAAATGAGAAACAAAATAAGTCCTTATCCTAAGTAAAGAAAAATTATGTTTACTCTGTTATTTTTTTTTTATTCAGAGCTTGTTTCATATTTAAAATTTTTTTCAGAAGTAAATAAAAAGTAATGTAAGAATATTATGATCCCATATAAATAATGAAAAAGATTTTTCATGAAATGACAATCATTATTACAATCATAAATTCCCAAGAAATTTCATTAATTATCATCAAATTATGCTTCACATTCAAAGAATATTGTTTTTAAAGAATCTGCGAATTTAAAATAAAACACCATTTTTTTTATAAATTATGCGATGTAAAAATTAAAATATTTTGTTTTAATTACTTTATTAATTATATAAATGTAACTTTTAATTTTTCAGATGGGCAATGGTTTGGCGTTGACATTACTAAAGAAGATATTGTTGACAACTATGAGAATTGCGTTTGGGAGCCATCAATTATTAAAATTAATGCATTGACTGCTGCTGCTGAAGCTGCCTGTATGATATTATCTGTTGATGAGACCATTAAAAGCCCTAAGCCTGCTGATGCTCCTATGGCTGGCGGTATGGGTATGGGCAGAGGCATGGGTCGTCCCATGTAAAAAGTTAATAAATTCTATACAATTAACCACACATTCATTTAAAAAACGTATGCACTTCAAATTCTAAACAAAGTACATACACAAAATACATATTTTTTGTTTTGTCATTTCCGTATATTACACAATACGCTCTACATTAAGTTTCATATAGTTTTGCTATAAAATCTAAAAATTATAAGCATTTCCTAACTTTCTTATTAACGCTTACTCATTTTCACAGTAAACTTTTGTTAATAAAAAACCAAAAAAAAAAAAATACGTTATTTCATTTACAAAATAGCCCTTAAATATAATAAATAAACAGCTCCTGTGTAAAATAAGTAGTTTAGGTTATAAAATAAAAATTGATTCATATTAAACATGCAACTTCGCAATTGCATTCTTCAATTACG